GGGTGTGCTTGTGCATGATTTAGGGGTACAAATGGAATAGTTGGGAGACAGTATAGTTTAATGTGAACGAAATGCCTTTTCAAGGAATTTAACAGTCTCTTAAATTATTTCATTGTTATCGATCAACTGACTTTTTTTTCTTTTCTTTCTAGCTAACTGCCTTCTATGAAAGCAATCAAGGTGATTATATTCTTCCAGTTAAAACAAGACTGAAATATGATGGCCCAAAACTTAGTAAAAAGCTATTTTTTTCCTGAGAGACTGATAAATACATACATATATGTTCCTTTTTTGTCTGTAATATAAATAACAAATTTTGGAGCAATTTTCTGGGCTCCTTTGAAGCAACAAATTGAACCAACTATGATTGGTTAATAGAGTAAGGATGTCGTGTGCAACTCTTCAACTTTGTTCCATAAAGCTCTCTTGGCAGTCACTCACACTACATTGCACAAAAGGATCGAGAAGAGTTAAACTTTAAAGAAATCATCTTTTTAGCTTCAATAGTGAGATTTCACCAGCACAATTACCAGAAGAATCTGGGAATGGATTCCACTACAGTGATATTGACTGCATATTTCAGAAGTGACCATTATACTGTGTGTGTGTGTGTGTATATATATATGTATGAACATATATATATATATATATATATATATAGTACTGTAATACTGCAAGAGGGTTTTTTAAACTTCCCATTTTATTTTTTATATACATTAATCAGATATCATTACCTAATGCATTTGCAACTATGCACTTGTATAAAGCCATAACGTTGGAGTTTATATCACTTGTCCATGTGTACATGATGGAAGCTGCATGTTCATGTTTGAACAGTTACTATAACAAGTTTGAAGTTAATTTTATCAGTTTCCTAATGCTTCATGATAGGCAACTTTACCCATTTTGAATGCCTTAATTTAATTTTTTCCCAAAGTCTCAGCCCTTTTCTGTAGAAAAAAAAAAAAAGTGTTTACCAGCTCTTAGGACGCAAACCTGCTTTGTGGAAGAAAAATAGTGCACTATTTTTACAAATAATAGTTATATCAATGTCAGCTTATTTTGATTGTTTAACAAAATTACTTCAAAGTATTGGTCATAGAAACCATAATGGATAGTATTGGAACTAATATATCTTTGATGTGTATCTATTATTATCCAACCTTTTTTTACAGATCTCAGTATTAATCTGTGACTACAAAATGTTTGTTTTCCTTTTATTTCTGGTAAAACATTTGTGATTATTTTTACATTCACACTCAAGATTCAAAAATTATCTCAAATACAAAGAAAATTAAGACATGCTGTAGATATATTTTATATATTTAAATGTGTTCCTCAAACACACAATTGTGTATGGCAATATTTAAGTATCGGGTTGAGAAAAAACTGATAACTGGGAAGGTTAGAGGCCTCAAAGGCACTTGATTTGATTTCTGTTTTTTTAAATGCTGTTAAAGTTTAGGCAGGACCATTCCTGTGATACTTCTCATGATCACAGATAAGTGTATATTTTACACCACCATAGTATGCAGCAATGGTAAGCATCAAGTTAAAAAAAAAAAGTTTTTTTATCAGTCTCTCTTCGTATACATCCACAGAATTTGGTATGATACTGAAACACATCATCTAATATTTCAATGAAGGAAGTGGATGTAATTTTCCTTGATTCCCTCTGGGGTCAGTGTAGAGATATTTAAAGAGTTAGATCCCCATTATAGATACTATTGTGGAAATTGAAGAGTAGCCATTGCTACTGATGTGCTGAAACTGAATATTGTTATTCGTACATTCTCCAGCCTGCACTCTGATGCTGTCTGGGCTAGAACTAGATGTGCATGCCGTTTCCCTTGCAGGTATGCTGTGCAGCTCTGGTTTTGGGGGGACAGCTTTTTTTTTTTTAAGTAAAATTAAAAAATGAAAAATATATAAAATTTATATAGAATAAATATTTCCATTCATTAGAGTTGTTAAAAGGAGACTGAATTAATATTTTATATAAAGATTTTGTTACAATATGGGAGGTTCTATCCTATTCTGAATTGGAGAGTATATATATATATATATTTTTAATAAACTTTATTAAGGTGAATAATTTCAAGTTTACATGAGTAACTGCAATATGAGTGAAAAAGGCAAAAGTTTAAATTTTGAATGCTGTATATATTAGAGAATTTGGAGAGTCATGGTGTGATGCAAATGTACAAGAAAATTAATGTGAAGCATTTGGGGGGAAATATTCTGAGGGGCAAAAAAAATATTTCCCCCATGGAGATTCTTCACATTATATGGTTTGACACAAGGATTAATTAGGTTGTTTGTCCAACTAATAGAAATGCGCTTAATAAAAAATTCTGACATTGGGTAAGAATTTGCTTTTTATGGAATTGCCGCTTTTATGTACATACACAAGTACACACACCTCACCACATGTTATTCCCATCGCTCATTAAATATGACACAACCTGATTTTATGCCACTTTCTCTTTTCCTTGAGGCCCCAAAGCTTCCAAGATAAATATTTATAAGACTAAAAGTTGTTTATTTCTTCACACCTGATTGCTCCTAGAGCCATAAATACCTCCTATTGGGAACTAAGAAATAGTTAATACTGGGATTTTCTTAGTTGGGTTTTTTAACTTTTGTGGGGATAGTGAGACAGAAATGGAAGGAAAACTGGTGCCGGTATTACTGTGGAAAATTGATGTATAGTGAATTTTTTTAAGTATTAATTTTTAAAAACATGCTATCTAGAAAAATGATTTTTTAAAAAAAAATCTGTTTGAAAGTTTAAAATGCTCTAGCTAACTAATAGATAAGTATACCAATAAATCTAAAATAAATTTTAATGCCTTTAAAAGTAACCTGTGCCACAGTTGCACAAATCTGGCTCTGAAGGATCTACTTTGCATCAATTTGTAGATCCTGAACAAGAAGTAATCCAGGTTGCCAAACCACAACTTAAGAAGTTATGCTGCTGTTACTCTGTTCTTATAGGATTCTGGTGTTAAAGTAGAGAAACTCAGACATGATATTAACCTTATTGGAACATGCTTTAAGTAACATGTTTAAAATCTTATTTGAGCAAGTCACTTGTGAGTTTCTCAGTCTACGCAGACACTGCTACTGACTCACCTCTCTTTCCCTGAAGTAAGGCTTCAATTTCCCTGTGTCCTGAAGACACCACAGTTGAATTGTAAAGCACTTTGAAGATAAGCACTGTGTGACAGTGCTGCGTATTATGTCTGGGGACTCTCCCTAACTCCCTTCCCCATAATAATGAGTTTTGTTTGGAATTGTAATAAGTTATGAACTGCATGGTTTAGATAATCATAAATATTTTGATCCGCTGTCCCCTCTGAACAAAAATCGTACCCCTCTGATTTTTCTTTTTTTTTTTTTAATTTTGTTGCATCTTTGTAGTAATGTAATTGTATTTTATGCCTGCTTTTTATAAAAAAAAATAAAAGAAATAAAGACATGAGCATTTCCATATTTTTCCTGTGAAACAGTCCTGGATGCTGCAGCCTTTTCAAGTTTACCCTAAAAATTTGCCTTTCCTATAAGATGGTTACAAAAGATGGAACAGAGGCAGCAAATAAGTGTTATAACAGAGGCCATAGAAGGGTGATTCCCCTGCCCTGCCACTTGGTTCATGGAGAAATTTAAAACAGTTTCAACCAGGATCCTGTTTCTGATTTGATTTGTGTATTTTAAGGGGCACACAAACCTAAAATTGACATTTCAGCTGGGAGGATAAGAAAAAGGTGGGGTACCTGTTTTGTCAGGAAATAGCATCCTTATGGGTAATTCTCTAGAAAGTGTCTGGTAATCAGTGGGTTCTTTTTTAGGACATTTATGTGCTATGTCATCGTGGGCAGGCTGTTCACTCTGAGCCTCAGTGTTTTCACTGTAAACTGGAGATTTACTTCTTCAAAGGATTATTGTGGGACTAATATGATGATGTGCGTGAAATACCTAGAATAACTCAGATGTTTGATTTCTCCTAAATGGGGGAAAACAGACCTCCTCACTTAAGTATGTTCTTAAAGGAGTTGCTTTAGCCAATGATGAAGTACTAAAAACTATATTAAATGAATTATTACTGGAATAAAAATAATTTATATTTATCGTGATGGTCAGATTGTAACTGCAAATGAGCACAGATTAACTTGTATTTTTTAATGGCCTCTGTGATTTAAACAACTGTAGAACAAATGGTTTATCTTCCTGCTGGTCCCAAGACGTTCTAAAACACCATAGTTTATTTTAAAAACTACACCTTACACAACAAAATTAGTCACATTAAAACAAGTGATAGCGGAGTTTTCAAAATATGAAAGTTTATTTTACATAGGAAACCATACATTCTCTAATAGACATCATTTACTGCGTATAGAATAATGCCTTCAATTAAAAGGGGAAAGTGAATCTTTAAATGTGTTAGGATTTATAAAATCTTAGAGGAAAATACAGCTTACAAATAATCCTAACATGTTTAGGATAAGATACTGAGAATAAAATTCATAAGAACTGGGCAGAACCCTGCAGTATTCTTTACTACATTTATTTTCAATAGACAAAATGGTAGTTGGTACCAAATTCCAGTAGTGGTTAATTGCATAGGTGTGGCCATTTCAAAAAGCTTTGTGCTTCAATCAAAAAGTTTGTTGGGATTTCCTTATCATAAATAGCAACTGCTAACAGCTTTTATTAGGCACAGTGTGAGTTAAAAGACTCTCTTGGTACACAAACTCAAGCCAATTGCATTGATGCCTCCCTTGCTAGATAGAGCCTAGGCAGGTATTATTATGCGTATTATGATATACAAGCCCATCCTGTGACATCTGTTACAATCAAACAGTCCCAGAAAGTGAACCCTAGTAACTTACTACAGATCCACTCCATTTCTGACTTTGAGCAAAATCCCACTCCATTTACGTTTTTTTTTTTTTTTTTTTTGTCATGGAGAGGATTTGTTTCTTAAAAGATTCTGAAAATCTGAAAAATAAATGCAGTTAGCTCTTCTGAGAGAACTTAGTCATAACTTGAAGAGTAAGGGTGAAAGTGGTCTGCTCAAAATGGGCTTCTTGGATGACTTCCACCAGTCGCCAGCCTTCTTAAAACTACGGATGTCTGATCGCTAGAAATGGGGAAAGGGAAGGGAAATTGGCATTTAAACAAGTGTTAAAGTGACTCTTCAAGTTTAAAAAGGCCAAAGATTCTGAAATGAGTATAAAAGACCTTGATTTAACAAGGGGCTTCCTTTTCCTTTAGTTCAGTCATTCAAAATCCACGTTGTGTGCAGGAATATCTGTCATTCAGCCTTTTTAACCATCTTCCGGTAGCGAAGTACTGTAGCTGTTACCCATATATTTAAAGCTAGCATGATCACAAAACGTGTAAGAACTGAAATTAACCAAAAGAATAAAAAAGTATATTAAAAACTTTTCACATGGTACAGCTGTATAATCCCAAATAAAACTTCACCCCCCACCCCTAAAGTGATGGATCCCCTTAACTATGGATCGTGAAAACATTGAACAACTTTGGTTCCAAGTATTTGGGGGGAAATGAACTTCTATCATAATGACTACTTTTGGCCACCTGACCTGACCTAATAAATAATAAATCTTAAAAGGTTAATTTAGAGCCATCTGGCTTTGGCTAAGAAGTGGTAAACTTTTAAAAGTCCCCTCAAGGGTGCTGGTATCTCAGAACATTCCTTATTAAGTAAAGGTAGTGTAATAACATTCTGCTAATTCTTGCACTACATTTCTTAACAGGAAAACGGGCCCAAATGTCCAAGCATATTTTATACTGAAATAAACATGAAAAGGTTACTCTTCCTTAAAAATGTTAATAAAACCCCCCAAAATTTAACAATGACTTAACTTCCACTTTAAGGTACAAACACTCTCCTAATAAATGAAGTTAATGAGGGTTGAGATGTCTTTGTGTTTATAAAACACACGTAAGATACTAGCTAAACTGCATTCAAAAAGTTATCCCCAGAGGCAGGGGGCTGGGGGCTCACGTGTACGGCACACCTCTTGGGGGTAGCACACAATTAAACGAGGGACTTTAACAAATGCAATCAGTGTAACCTAATTCTTTGTACCCTCAATGAGTCCCAAACAATAAAAAAAAAAAATTACAAAAGGTTATCTCCAGATAAATGGATAACTCTCAGGAACAGCTATCACAGACAAAAAACCCAATTAGAATATTCTTAAGCTTTCAAACTTAGTTTTTGATGTATAGGTTTGTTTTGTTATTTAGTTATGGTTTGACTCTGCATGCTGACAATGATGCTGGCAAGTCTTCAAGTCCAGTCAAGAAGACCCAGACTTGTCCTTTTCTTCCTATTTCCCACTTGATAGAAGTTTATTCTTTGACCAGAACAATTTTAATCCTACAGTCAGAGGTGATAAAAGGTATTTGAACCAAAGGTACAACCTCCAGAAAGAGACTAACAAATGGCTCTCTCTGTTCTGAAGTAGTGTTTCTCTATTAAGTAATAATTAGCTTAAAGAGTATGTACCCAGGACATTTTCCAGTCTTCATAGGTGACACTATCTGTTCTAATCATTTTTCAAAGATGTATACTATATGCTCAAGTTGGGAGTTGAAACCCGGCTAAGGAATTACTCAATTCTTTTTTTAATTAATCAAAATATTTTCTCCTCCATCACAGCTTTTTCTTTTAAAAAAAAAGTGGCCAGGCACAGTGGCTCACGCCTGTAACCCTAGCACTCTGGGAGGCTGAGGCGGGTGGATTGCTTGAGCTCAGAAGTTCAAGACCAACCCAAGCAAAAGTGAGAACCCCATCTCTACTAAAAATACAAAAACAGAAAAACTGAGGCAAGAGGATCACTTGAGCCCAAGAGTTGGAGTTTGCTATGAGCTATGACACCACGGCAATCTACCCCCAGGGTGACAAAGTGAGACTCTGCCTTAAAAAAAACAACCAAAAAACACCCACAACAACAAGAACATACAGTCAAGTGAGTATACCACTCCGCTGCTTAAAAAGCCTTCAGAGGCTTCTTCCTGCTGGTTGTGGGCTCTGAGGCTCCTGCAGCTCACTCCCCTGTCTCTCCCCCCACTCCCCCTGCACCCTGGCCTTGCTGGAGTTCTCTCAGTGTCCCAAGCCTGTGTTCTCTTGGCTGGTGGCCTTCACACATGCTGTTCCTTTTAACTGTACCCCCTCCCTCTCCTCAGATTTCACTATTCTTCAGATTAATCTTCCCAGCTCTCTCCAACTAGGTCAGATTCTCCTGCGTGCTCATCCTGCCATCCTCATATCTCACAACATGACCCAATAGTTAACTGTGTGATGATTTCATGGCCAATTCCCCAGCTTAAGTAGAAGCTCCATGATGATAGGAATCTACTCTCTTGTGCATATTCTTTCCCCTGGACTACAGAAGTAGATGCTTAATAATAAAAGGGTGACTGATGAAAGCTAGGAATACTTTGATTGTTGCCTCCTTCTAAATCTATAAACCATTACCGATGAGTCCATCTATTAAGCCCTTAGCCAGTTTCCAAATGAAGAAGGTACAAATAGCATAAAACTCAGATGTGGGAAGAAAAATATTCTGCTTACTTGTAAAATCCTTGGTGGTCATTAAGGTTGTTACTATTCTTGCTGTAAAAGAAAATGTGCAGCGATAAATAACTTCTCAGACATTTTGGCACTTAGCTATTGTCTCTCTCTTTTAATATACCAAAAATACTAAGCGTTATTGTTAGATTTTTGGTAGCACATAAAACTAAATAGTACCACATTTCACAAACACCTAATAACCAGCCATGCATCCCAGCCTAGTGGTTTTGAAACTGCTCCCAAGAGAAGCAGCAGTTCCTAGAAGATACTTCAGTGTCCAGGGAAGTCGGGGGGCTGAGCCCCCATCCAGGTCTGCATATGCCAACCTACCACTCAACCTCAAACAGCATTTCTAAAGAATTTCATTTACATATTGAGCTTCTGGGTAGTTTTCTTTAAAACTAAAAGCACTGTTTTAGGCTGGGCAGGGTGGCTCATGCCTGTAATCCTACCACTCTGGAGGCTGAGGTGGGTGGATTGCTTGGAGACCAGCCTGAGCAAGAGTGAGACCCCCATCTCCAATAAAAATAGAAAAAAAAAATAGCCAGGCGTGGTACCGGTATATAGTCCCAGCTACTCTGGAGGCTGAAGGAAGAGGATTGCTCAAGTGTAAGAATTTGAAGTTGCTATGAGATATGACACCATAGCATTCTACCCAGGGCAGTAGAGTGAAACTCTGTCTCAAAAAAATAAAAATTAAAGCAATGTTTTAAATGCTCCCCATGTGCTTTATAGATAAGGAAACTGAGGTCAAGCCAAGGGTAAGATTTTCTAAGGGTCTAGCTAGAACTGTTTTGTTTAATTCTTCTTTCTGGAATGGCCTTTCACTTAGCAAATTAGGGTAAGTGTTAAAACTGAGATGCATGGGCTATGTGAATTGGGAGTCAGAGAATATTACCACCTGCAACTCAAGGCAGACCTTTCCTAACCTCGGAAAGGTCCAATCCATCAAACCAATCCTTCAAAAACTCACCCTTTGGCTCAGCACCTGTAGCTCATTGGCTGGGGCACCGGCCACACACACCAGAGCTGGTAGGTTTGAACCCCACCTAGGCCTGCTGAACAACAATGACAACTACAACGGAGGAATGGCTGGGCATTGTGGCAGGTGCCTATAGTCCCAGCTGCTTGGGAGGCTGAGGCAGGAAAATCACTTGAGCCCAGGAGTTGGAAGTTGTGAGCTGTCACACCATGGCACTCTACCAATAGTGACATCATGAGACTCTGTCTCAAAAAAAAAAACAAAAAAACAAAAAAACTTGCCTTTTGCCTAATATATTTTGCATTTAGCATATCTTGAAAGGCAGAAAGCCAATCCTATAAAATTTTTAGTTGCTAAATTTGTAACCCAAGACTTTACACACAGACACCACGTAAATCATTGTTGATTAAGCAACTTACGTTAAGGAAATAGGTGTTAAGTCAATGGAGAAGACTCCAGTTAAGAAGGTGGCCCATTAAAATATCTGATAAGGTTATAGAGAAGGATCTCAATAGTATGAAAGAAAATGATCAGATTAAAAAATGGGCAAAGGATATGAATAGACATTTCGCAAAAGAAAACATACAAATGACCAGAGAAATGCAAATTAAGACCACAGGAAGATATCACATCCCACCTGTTAGAATGCCTGTTATCCAAAAGATGAAAGATAAACGTGAGAGAGGATGTGGAGAAAAGGGAACCCTTACACACCGTGGGAGGGGTGTGTGTGTAAATCACCACAGCCTTTATGCAAGACAGTATGGAGGTTCCTCAAAAAATTAAAAATAGAACTACCATATATCCCACCACTGGGTATAGATCCAAAGGAAATGGAATCAGTATCTTGAAGAGGTCTGCACACCTGTGCTTACTGCAGCACTATTCACAGTAGCCAAGATTTGGAGTCAACCTAAGTGTCCATCAGCAGGTGAATGGATAAAGAAAATGTGTTACACACACAATGGAATACTATTCAGCCTTTAAGAAAGAAGGAAATCCTATCACGTGCAACAATGTGGATGGATGTGGTAACAAAATAAACCAGACACAGAAAGGCAAAGGTAACAGGATCTCAAGTGTTTGTAAAACCTATGAAAGTCACAGAGGCAGAAAATAGAATAGTGGTTAGCAGGGGCTTGGAATGGGGGCAGGGGGGAGTTTGGGAGAGGTTGGTCAAAGAGATAGAGAGGAGGAGTAAGTTCAGGAGATCTACTGTACAGCCTGGGATTACAGGGAAAAACAGACCTCTAATCAACACTGCATTGCTCCAGGGTGAACTAGAATAAATACTAAAAATGCACGTCACATTCACGTCTAAAGCAATATTGAAGTTGTTAGCCTCACATGTCAAAAAGGAACATTGGGTTTAAAAATAGTTCATTTTTTTCCCTATAAAGCTACAGTCCTCTGTTTTTCGGCCATTCAACAAATACTTAAGTACTGGTTAAGCATGGAGGGGAGTTCAAAATATATTGAAAGGTATTATAAGGCATGGTCTCTGCAGTTCCAAGTTTATGAGATTTCCTTAAAGAAAATTTAATATGCAAAAATCTAAATATTAAGAACCTGCAGATGGGAGGTGCCTGTGGCTCAATGGGTAGGGCGCTGGTCCCATATACCAAGGGTGGCAGGTTCGAACCCGGCCCTGGCCAAACAGCAACCCAAAAATAGCTGAGCGTAGTGGCAGGTGCCTGTCATCCCAGCTACTCAGGAGGCTGAGGCAAGAGAATCGCCTAAGCCCAAGAGTTGGAGGTTGCTGTGAGCTGTGATGCCACAGTACTCTACTGAGGATGATAAAGTGAGACTATGTCTCTAAAAAAAAAAAAAAAGATACCTGCAGAGAAATTTGATAATATATCTAATTAACAATTCTAGAAATCACACATATATTACACAATAATACTTTAACATTTTAAAGCTAAAAATAAAACCTAGCAAGTCTTAATTTTAAGTAACTGGGGATGTAAAGTAACTGATAATCCAAATTATCAGCCTTGGAGAGAGCAACTGGTTCTTTAAAATATAGGATAGTCATAAGGAAGTATAATGAAAATATCTAAAACTAGTAAATCTAATTAATATGATAACTCAAGAGTTTTAGGTAGTTCTTGAAAGAAGCCAAATGAACAGTGCAAATTCTATAGTTAAGACCAAACAATGAGCCCACAGAAAATCTCCATTGCTACAAGTTATTCCTTCTTAAAAAGCCAATGTAAGATTTTCATCTCCTAATCTGTTACATCATAAAGGTTCAAATTTTTAAAATAGTTTATCAATATAATCAACCCCTTGATACTTTTCAAAGACAACAGGACTCTTTATATTAGGCCAGAGTTTTGCTTTCACTTTTTTCTTTTCTTTTTTCTGGGTCTTGCAGAAAACAGAGGGCAACCTCATAAATGTGGGTACACTTAATTAGGAGGCTCTACCTGAACAGCCAGGACCACGTTAACTTCAGAACCAAGGTACCACACAGTGAGGTGGGCACCCGGTTCTGGCAGAGGCCTCCCACCTGAGCCCGCTCTTACTTGCACAGGTGTAGGCGGACAGGCTCCAGGTCAGCGCGCTCACGGCTCCCGAGTCTCTCGTCTTCCACAAACACTGGAGCTGAGCAAACTTACTGGCCGCACTGATGAAAGTACAGAGATTCTGTGTGCAGATAAAACGTGAGAATGTTAAGAGACTGCTTGTTAAAAAAGCAACAGAATAACAGATACTCAAAGCATATTTGAAGCCAAACTTTTAGGTCAAGTAATAACCCATTTGTACAAGGTTGAAACCTAAGTTTGGTGGAAAAGAATGCAATAGTGAGATGTTTATTTTAACTCATGGATTCCACTGTGCAATGGGTAACTAATGGGCTAGTCAGAAGTTGGGAGAAGCTGGGAAAGAATCATTGCCTGGCCACAAGGCTTATCTATCCACACCTATCAATGGAAAATAAATAAGAAATATTGTTTTAGAGTCTGGGGAAAACCAGGCTGTTTTTAACTGACAAACTCATAAACTCAAGCATCAGGCCACATGGCAGCGTGCTCAGGCCCTCTGCTACTCGGCAGAGTAGAGGTCTGAGTGAATTAGCCTGCAGCACTACCCAGCGCCCTGCACCCTCAGCTGGGCCCAGGCCTGCCATTGCCAGCCTCTATGGCAGCTGAAACTTGAGCTGCTGGGTTGAGTGGGACCAAAGGGAGTCAAGGGAAAGGCCAGGAGACCAGGTAGGCCATGGCAGGTGTCCAGGTTTGTACCAGCACAGCAGAAATAGAAGAGGTGAGAAGTGGTCAGGTTCTGGATACATTTCAAAAGCAACACTGATAAGGACGTGCTGAAGGATTTGCAGTGGGATGTGAGAAAAAGAAAAGTCAAGGGTGACCCTAAATGCCACTGTTTCCAGCCTCTGCAGTGGAGAACGGAGATGCCATTAGCTGAGATCCGCAAAGCCTCAGGAGGGGCAGTTTTGCAGGAAGAGAGGGGTAAGGCTGAGATGAGAAACTGTTTAGACATGTGAAGTGGGAGATGCTCTTAAGTCAGGTGAGCGCAGTGTGCAGTGGTGTCTGGACATGCCCAGTGTATGCCACAGCTCTAGGACCACTGGGGTTGGAGACGTGTGGCAGAGGAGCCAGAGAGTGCAGTGAGGGGCAGTGGGAAGAGATATGGGGGAGTGAGGTACCCATAGAAGCTGAGTGAACAAAATGATTCAACGAAGCTTCAGCTGTGGCATCGAATGCCACAGAGATGGTAAGATAGAGAATGAGAACTGACCACTGAAAGAAAGTCACGGGGGGGCTGTTTTTTGTTTTGGTTTTTGAGACAGTCTTTTTGAGGGGTCTTGCACTGTTGTCCAGTCTAGAGTGTGGTGACATCGTCACAGCTCACAGCAACCTCAAACTCCTAGTTTCCAGTGATCCTCCTGCCTCAGCCTCCTGAGGAGCTAGGACAACAGGCACTCACCACTGTGCCTGGCCAAGACAGGCTTCTTTATGTCTGTCTCCCAGGAAAACTCACAAGGGGGTCCTCTGGTTTATACCCTGCTGAGACTCAGCACCTTGTCAGCCTGAGTGAATAATCTCTGCTGAGTGAACGGATCCTTAATGCAGTTTGGCAAATGTGATGATAAAGGTGCACGTGGAATAACTTAAGAGGAGTGAAGGGGTTGCTTGGACAAGGAAGAACTACGGAGAAGGGACCAACAGGGAGTGCTCCCTGGCAGAGCAGTTGAGAAGGGGTCCAGGTCAGGCCTGAGAAAGGACAAAGCAAGGTCACACTGGGCACTGGCGCAGATGGCTCCCAGAGGACTGGCCCAAGCAGCTGCCGAGGAAAGAGGCTCTCCTGCAGTCAGGGGGACCCCAGAGAGCAGGGGAGGGAGGACTCCAGGGGAGGCTCAGGATGTGGGCTCAGCAGGGCTGGGGGAATGGTTCCAGTTTGGGGGTGAATAGGTTGGCCAACGCCAGTTGCGAGCCTCCATCCATAGCAGGAATGGAAATACTGTGGCCTAAGTTGGTCAGGAATGAGGTTAAAAGGTCAAAGGCAACAGTTTTTTGGTGTTTCTTCTGTACCCTTATCTATGGTCTGTTCTAACCACATATCAATGATATAGTATTTGGAAAAGCAGCTCTGTAACTGACACTCAGTTTTCCACTCTGTGACTGTTAGCTACCTCTCTAATCTGGTCCCTATGCCCCCCTCCAAAAGAAATTTTTTAAAAATTCGCCCCAGATTTAAATGAGGATATCTTTCTTTTTTTTTTTTTTTTGAGACAGAGCCTTAAGCTGTCACCCTGGGTAGAGTGCCATGGCTTCACTGCTCACAGCAACCTCCAACTCCTGGGCTCAAGCAAGTCTCCTGCCTCCACCTCCCAAGTAGCTGGGACCACAGGCACCCGCCACAACACCTGGCTATTTTTTGGTTGCAGCCATTATTGTTGTTTGGCAGGTCCGGGCTGGATTTGAACCTGCCACCTTAGGTATATGTGGCTGGCGCCTTAGCCGCTTGAGCCTCAGGTGCCGAGCCGAGGATATCTTTCAATACTTGGATAGTTTTGCACTTTTGTTCCCATTATCCCTTAAATACAACTGAAAATATAGCAGGTTTAACATTTGATCTCAAAAGTTCTTTCCAGGGCAGGCTGGTATTTCTCACATTCTTTTCAAAGGCAATACTCACCATGGCCAGGTCTATGATCCACTTCTGCAGGGTAAGGACGAACCAAGAACACACCAATCTTACCAAGTGCTAAGGAGACAGCAGTGGGTCACCTGAGAGCCCTGCCACCCTCCCGTCTCATGCAAATGAACCAAGACCACAGAGCTTTGAACAAAGAAACCAAGCATGGAACTGGGGGAGGTTCTGCTAGAACTCAGTCAGATTTGGAAAAGACAAAAAGGGTTTCGAGTGAACACCTGTTTGGAGTTCAAAAGAACAAAGGAGATTATGGGAGAAAAATGCAAAGACACCTGTGATTGTGGGTTGTTCCCCAGGACTGAGAACATTCTTAATGGTTTTAAATGCCCACTAATTGCTGACCAGGCAGCTCTAATTCATTGTCAGAAGTTAAGCACTTAAAAGAGCGCACCAATATTACACAGCAGGGATGTGTATGAGGTATGAGGTGGACTTGGTGATTCCTCCCTTCCCACTAATTGCACTGTAAAAATGATAGAGAGGGATGACTGAAGTAAGCATGGGAGAGCTAGTGGCCAGTGGCCAGCATCCTGGAGGACCAGCCTTGAGGTACCTTGAACAAGTCACTTTCCATATCCTGACCTTGGTCTGCTTACCTGTACAATGGACTTAACATTTCTTGCCCTGTCTACCTCCTAAGTGCCTACAATCCCATAGTTGGGACTCAAGAAACTGCTATTATAATTAATAACATTAAGTAAATGAAGGGCTTGAACTAGATGATGCCCTGCGCTAAGTCAGTCAGGGATCGAATATGAGCAGCCTGAGTCCAGCTGGAAATTCTGCCTTAAGACACCCTCGGGGCGGCACCTGTGGCTCAAAAGGGTAGGGCCCTGGCCCCATATGCCGGAGGTGGCTGGTTCAAACCCAGCCCTGACAAAAAAAAAAAAGGACTCAATTTTTAAAGTTCATTTCTGTGATTTTCTTTTTGCCCAATTCTGTATCACCCCACCTCCTATGGATTCAAAATACACATTTTATAAAATTTGAACAGTAGTAGGAGCTACTGAGATTCCACAGATGATCTCTTTGTAGGATTGCCAGATTTAGCAAATAAAAATACAGGACACCCAGTTAAATTTGAATTTCAGTTCAACAGCAAATGATGTTTTAGTATAAGTATATTGCATGCAATATTTGAGACATTCTTCTACTTTGTGAAATATCTGTTAATACAACAATGCTACTTATTGCTCTCTATTAAGTCACAAGTGACAGGTTGAAAACACGTTGCTGACACCACACACTTGCCATCAGCGCCCAAACAGGTATGTGAGAAGTTTATGTCAGCACCCACATTTTCTCATCTTCAGCCTCACCATCTGCACGAAGATAAGCTGTGCTTTTCATCTTCATAGTATTGCTTTCAAAAACCTTTACGCAGCAGGGCAGAGCCTTGCAGTGCTGAGGAGCAGGCAACCCTCCTTTTGCAGAGGGAAACCGATCCCCTGGGCCCGGGGAGCTCAATGAAACCTGGCGGGGGGCGGGGGCAGGACAGCTGCAAAGCCCTCTAGTCTAGTAAAACCACTGCAATGACCATCTTTTACTCCACTTGTCTCTGTCCCTGGTATTTTTAGTTTCCCAGGACTCTGAAAGGCAGACATTATTCTCCCACCCCAGAGGGAGGAGGCGGGGGCAGGACGGCTGCAAAGCCCCCCAGGCTAAACCACTGCATTGACCATCTTTTACCCCACTTGTCTCCGTCCCTGGTACTTTTAGTTTCGCAGGACTCTGAAAGGCAGACATTATCACCCCGCCTCCCAGAGGGAGGAGGCGCAGCTCAGAGCGCCCAGGGTGCGGGATGGGAGGGGATTGTCCTGTCTGACTCTGGGCCAGCTGCTTCCACCACCCCACACCCACATCCCATTCCCACAGCCCACACTCGGGGCTCCGGCGCTCCTTCCTCCTCCCTGAGTGGGTGGAGGCACAAGCATCTCAGACAATTTCACAGGATCAAGTGACTCCCAATCCAGCCGCTGCCGTTCAGAAAACCTCCCTGGCCTTTTAAGGATGTGAGGTTTAGCGAGAGAACAGTTAAGTAGCACGAAGCCTCATCCTGCTCCAGGGAAGCCAGGCCTCACTGCCAGCCTCTTGGACACAACTGGGGCTCTGACCTCAAGGCTCAGTGTGTAAACTAATGCCTAGACTAGGAGCACGATTCGCACTGCGAACAGGCCAGGGGAGTCCCTTGCTTGGCAGCCAGCGAGCCAGGTAACCAGGTATGCCAGCGGTGCTCATGGCAGGTGTCTCGTTATCGTTATGTCAAGTTCTTTGGGGCTATTGTCAGAAAAGGAAGAAATGTCTCAGATAAAGTAGTACAATCTTACTTTAGAGATTAGCAGGCTCTGACTTCCAGCCAGGGGCTGTACCGAGGGCACCTCTGGTCTGTAAAGATATATTTGTATTTGGGAAATATATAGTCTAATCCAAAAACACACATCTAGCAAGGCCCTTGCTTCGTGCTGCTGCTGATTATGAGTGAATGACAGCCCCAGCCGGTTTCTGCCTCCGGGACGCTGAAAGGATACGTAGCGACGTAGGGCGCGGCCTGTTTCACGTTCCCGTTGAAGTGGAAGACACAGAGCAGGAGGACGACGTCTGAAAGAGCGAGGCTGGGAGTGAGGGGCGAGGGGCAAGGGGAGGTGGGCAAGCAGGGGCACGGCGCGGGCGTTACCTTGCGCGATGAGGATGGGGTACTCCAGGTAGGTCAGCAGCGGGTACCCGTAGTAACACTGGTACCGGAGGAACACGAGGAACCTGCGGGAGGAGGACACAGGCTCACACGCCCGCCCCACAGCAGCCGCCGGCTCCTCTGCCAAATCCTATTAGCAGTTGCGCAGAGCCCCACGTGTGGAAGAGGAGGATTTACAGCAGGAAGGACAGGACTCGGTTTAACAATCTGCACTGCGCTGCTCGTAATCCTTGCACTTCGGGAGTCAAGGCAGGAGGACCGCAAGAGCCCTGGACAGGAGTTACAGACCAGCCTGGGCAACATAAGGAAACTCGATCTCCCCTCGAAATAAAATTAGTTGGGCATTTTGGCGAGCGCCTGTACTCCCAGCTACTCGGGAGGCTGAGGCAGGAGAATCACTTGAGCCCAGGAGATCGAGGCTGCAGTGAGCAGTGATGACACCACGGCACTCCAGCCTGGAAGACAGAGGGAGACCCTGCCTCTAAAAAAGAAAAACATTAAATTACCTCCATGATTTTGGGAATATCCAGAACTCACTAGGAGCTCAGTTGGAGTGCATATCCATGTTCTATCCAGTCCTTTGAGATGGTGGTTTTTAAAGAACGTTTACAGAAAGAAAATCACTGAAGGCCCTGTCCCCTCACTGAAGGACCCAAGTCCCTACTGTTCCCTGGGCTGACTGCCCTGTCCCACCACCCAGAGGTGTGGCTTTTAGTTGAAAAGTAATCACTAAAATGCTCATTATGACAAAATTAGACCAGTCATCTAACATCAGCACACATGATGAGAATAAGATAAGAGTCCATCAGGCCAGGGCAGACATAACACAGCTGCTGAGGTCTGGTTAGGTCCGAGGGACCTTTACCCCACATCTCCCATTCTTGTTGTTTTGTAAATTCATATTTAACTTAAAGGTGTATATTTAAGTAGTTCAGGGTGATTGATTTAAGAGGTTAACTTTTGAATTGGAATGTTGCTGTATGGGTCATGGGTTATGTCAACTATTGTTTATTATGGGTCATGGGTTGTTGTTTAAGATAAATATTAATTACTATTAAGATAAGAATACGGTTCTTGCTTTTAACTTTTATATATAATACTGTGGTTTTAGAAATGAAAGAACAGAACAGTCTGGGAGAAGCTACTCTCACTGTTCTCCAGAACTGCTGGCCTTCTGATAATAAAGTTTGTTTGAACCTAATCCCTGTCTCTGCATATTGGCTGAACAGTGACAGGTGGTTGGACCCTCTTTGTCCAGTAACATTTTGTCCTTCCTGTGAGCTCTGTGAAGTCATTTGAGATTTCTACCTCAGCACACGTGCTAAAGAAGGTTTAAGTCAAAAATATAGCCACCCAGACACAGGGAGGCCAGTAGCTAGGGAGTAAGCGGCAGAGCTGAGATTTGAACTCGGGACTTTTCCAAAGGATTCTCACCCCAAGGCCAACTCTCTGCAGCAAATAAGTCAACTTGGAGAGGGAAGCAAGGCTGGGGGAGACCAGGGGAGGAGGGTCTGTGCGGCTCCCCACACTAAGATTCTCCGGTGTCACTAAGGCATGGTTCATGCTCCAATTGACCAAATGCTCTCAAAGATAAACTTTTAGAGCCAGTTTGCTCAGATTGACATCCAGAGAGGGTCTGTGCCCTCCAGGTGACTGTGATGGTCACCCTGGGGCACCTTCTGCTTGAATTCTGGCATCTGGTGGGGGCTTGCACCCAACCCCAGCCAAAGGAGAGAAGGAAGAGGGCAGGGACAGAAGCAGGATGATGGGGAGAGCCAGGCCTGCAGCTTCCCCCACCTCCCTGGCCAAAGTTCGTATCATCTGGAGATAAAAGCAATACTGTACTGACCTCCTAAGGCTGTCCTGAGGACTGAATAAGGTAATCATATAATGGCAGCAGAACACAGGAGTGCTCAGAGAACAGGAACCATTATAGCAAATCCCTGGTGGAGGTGGAGGTACAATCTTCTGGCATTCAGTGGCAGAGCCTGCTGCCTCCAGCTGTTCTTCCCTGGGCCCTAACACAGCCAAGTCACTCACAGACGAGCCCAGCAGAGAGCCCCTTACACAGGCCTACCACTCTCAGGCTCTCCTGCCCAGAGAGGCCACTCCACGGCCAGAGACCACCTGGACACTGAATCTCAGTATGGTGGCCTAGGGTCACAGTGAAGTTCTACCCCTCACCTTCCTAGCACCTAACCCAAAGCCCAGAGGAACTTTGTCCCAGGCCATCTATAAGGATGGTGGATCTTTATAGTGAAATGATAGAGAAATTATTAACTCATAGTTTTTCAGTAAGGGTTAAAATCAGTCATGAGCTCACTCCTCTTTCTCTTGCCAGCAGGGACCCTGTGGATTTGTTTTCACACACCACTGAGAAGCCCAGAAGACAAAAGGGAAATGTACATTTGCTTTACCATCCACTAAATCTGCCTTTCTGAATTTGTTCCTATAGCTTCAAGTGGTTCCTGAAAAGCTCTGGAACAGACAACGGGGTCGGGGGAATGAACTCCAGGGTTCAAACCTGCACAAAATCATATCTCAGGGCAAAATCAACAACAGGATCAGAAACACCTGTAAAATGTAGATTTCCTGAGCATTAATAAAGCCTCACAGGAGTGTCAGCCTTTGCCCCACCACCCACCCCTTGCCTCCCTTCACTTCCCAGGACCTTCCCTGTAAACACTGAATTCCCACATCCCTCTGCAGAAAGCACAAGCTACAGATGATTTTCCCTGTTACATCCTCAAAGTTCAGGTCAATAAGCCTCCACTGATCAATACCTTTGCCTCAGTCACTCATTTTGAGTTGTCACACCTCATAACTGCCTACACTCCCATCTCCCTCTCCCCTATGAAGAGGGTATTTCAGCCTCAACCAGCTAGCCCTGCGTTGAGTCTCATATTCGCAGGAGTCCCGGAGTGCACAGACACATTAACAAACTTGTATACCTTTTTTCTTATTAACCTTTCTATTGTCAGTCACTCCAGCAAACCTTCAGAGGGTGCAGAAGGGAAACTTTCCCTCTGCCCCTGCTCCTGCAACCCCAGCCTTCCCAACCAAAAACTTCACAACTCTGCCTTTCAGGTTTAGGTCTTTAGCTAGGGAGTCAGGGCGCCCACTCCAGATTTTTGATGGACAGAGTGGCACTGGGAGTCCCCTCGGCTCTTCCCCGCCTAACTCCTTCCCACTTTTCATGCACTGACCTAATTCCCCTTCCTCTTTTCCCTCCAAGGTCTCTCCATCATCTGAGTTCCCAAAACACATGGAGCTTTTTAAGGCCAGAAGGGTCCTTAGGGATCTCAGTTCAAACTCTTGTTTTTACAGGTGAAGCCTGAGAAAGAAGTTGATGGTGTGAGGTGATGGTGCTGTGACACCCTGATTCAGCCAGGTCTCAGTCTTTTCATCTGTAAAATGGGCATGCGCGGTAAATTCATACCACACCCAGCTCGACTAGGAGCCGTTAACCCGCCTGGTGAGTTGCCGCGGGAAGTCCTCCGCCCGCAGCCCCAAGGCTAGCCGCCCAGCTGCAACACCGAGCTCAGGGATCGTCCCCGCCCTACCGAGAACCAGGCTCTTCCCCGCTCCCAGCTCTTCGCCGCCTGCAGAAGCGAGGGCGGAAGGGGGCAGCCTCGGCCTTACCCCGCCAGCTCCAGAAGCAAACTCGGAAGGCTGATGCCCCGCGCGCTGCGCGCCCCCAGCACCGCGGAGATCTGCGGCAGCTTGAGCGCGGCGCACACGCCCAGAGTGCTCCAGTTGCAGAACAGCAGCAGCCCGGCCTCCATGGCGCTGCGGGGGCGGCGGCGCGGTAGCTGGGAGTGGAGCCCGCGGGCTGCCTCAGCAGGCGGCCCGGCCCAACCCTTCCGCCTTCTGGACTCGCCCTGGCCCCTCCCGGACCCGCCCCGCCCGACCTGAGTCCTCCCCTCCTTGCCCCGGCTTGCCCGGGTCCCTCCCTGCGGGGCCCGCCCCACCTCGGACTCGCCCCTCCTCCGGGATATCTCGCCCCGCCCTCCTTGGGATAGCCCCGCCTCTGGGCCGCTTCGCCCCGCCCCACCTGCCTTGCATTGTCAGTCACTGACTCAGAAGACGCCTTCTCCCTGCTCGCGGTTAGGAGTCTCCGGGAAACGCCCAGATAGTCCCTCTTTTTCTTGAGTTTGGTGGGCAGGGAGCAAACGGGTACCCCCTCAGGGAGATGGACCTATCTATTGTACTTTTTCACTTCATACAAGTTGTTTGCCTAAGCTTTTCAGGAATTAAAACTTGGGACGCTTAGCGGCCTCACGTTTGCTCATCTTCTGAGCTAACAGGCTGGGAGAGGTGCAGGTTGCTGGGACCACAAGCCAGCTGGGGTTGGCTCATTTCCAGAGCCACAGAGCAGGGGAAGGAAGTCTTCTCTTTCTCCCCTCCCAGTGGCTCCTGGAGGCCTTGCACTGGAGCACTTTGGAGTGAAACTTTTTTCTTAAGGAGGTAAAATAGGTTTCTACTGACAAAGGTAACTTGGACGTGGCCCTCTGAGCCAACCTCTGGAAATCGCGTTTCTATGAGGGACAGGTTATGAAGCAGAAGAAAACCACAAAAATGCAACTATAGAGTCTATGATGGATGATGGTTTTGTGCTAGAAACCTCAGTGGGGAAGGGGAAGGGGCCAGAGCTGGGCTGCCTCAGAGTCCTGGCCGAACGCTGTCCCTCTCCAGCCCTCACCAGGCCATCACTCCGCCTGTGGAAAAACCCAGAAGGTGCTTGGTCCTCCCTCCCAAGTCTAAATGTGAACAGGAAATTCCACTTGGCCCTGCCCTGGCTAGATTAGTAATTGTTGGTCTTTAGAAAAATAAAATAGAGAAACAAAGATTTTTCTTACAAGCATCAAAGCCTTATAATGGCAGCAGTGAGGACTACAGAACAATCTAGAATCTGTTGAATGCCTCTTGCGTGCACATCTGTTTGTCACATCTGTTGGAGGGTCCTGGTTGGAAGTGCCTAGTCCTGCCATGAAGCAGAGGCTCCCCCCTTCCCTCCTCCTTGGCCGTGGACCCTGTTTATTCCAGAGAGTGGCCTGGATCTGGGCCACAAGGACTGACTCATGTGGGTGCATTGTGATGTCTTAGTGTTCCCAGGACCACACAGACAGGGCACCTTCTCAATTGCAGAGCCTACCTGTTCCTGGCCAAGGCCACTGACCCCCCCCCCCCGGCTCTGTGGGTCCCAAAGGTGAGGCAGGGCAGTAGGAAGATCTTTCTGCCTTGTAGACCCCTCCCTGCACTGGCTGCTTTGCATGAAGGCCAGGACACTGGTGATGTGGGAGTGTGGCATTTGGGAATCGGGCAGACCTCAGCTGACCTCTCAGCCCTGGCCCTTACCGGCTCCGTGATCTTGGACAGACCTTACCTGCAACTTTACTTTTTTCATTTAAAAATGAGGAAATCCACCCCCACCTGAGAAGGTGACTGAGAAGCACAGGGTAGGTGCTCGATATAAACAGCCATTCCCCACCAGATGCAGACTAGCAAAATATTTTGGGATTTGTGGGACGCTGGCTTTTAGGAGGTGGGTGATCCTAGGTGAAGCCATGTGGGAGCCCTGTGGGTAAGTGTTGGGGTCTGGGTCCCCCTACCCCAGCTGGGACATCCTGATAACATGCTGGCTCTTCAGCCCAGATGTCTGCCTCAAATCCACTGATCTTCAAGGTGCCTCTGTGCCTTCAGGAGGTTGGGAAGTATCTGGCTGGGGTCTGTGCAGCATACACCCACTGGGACATCTCTCTGGCACAGGACAGTGTCCCATGTTGGAGGCCTCGTACACATCCTCATGGCTTGCTACGTGAGCGTGGCCCACCTTAGCATAGCTGAACAGAGTGTGACTAAAGCTGGCTTCTGCTTGGACTTGGAATTGAGCAATGACTGATCCCATTACCCTCTTCCCACCCCCAGCTATTCTCTTCAGCAGAGGAGGATTCCTAAACCTATAGGAAGACTGCAAGAAAAGCACAATGAATACTCATGTACTCTTCACCTAGATGAATCAGTTATTGATAGTTTTGTCCATGTTAGCTTTATCTGTCTCTATTTATACACCACACGATTTTCTGTTAAATCTTTTGTAAATGTGCAGTGGACTTCACGGCACTCAGCTAGATACTTCACACACCCCTAAGCACCGACCTGCCATGCAATCACCAGCTCCTCATTGTGATCCCGACACAGTGCTATTACAGCATGTTTAATCACGTTACCTGATATCCAGTCTGCACTACCTAACATTCAGTCTGCAAAGCGTCCTTTACGGCTTTGACCTGTCTGCACCATCTTTCATCTGACTCACTTCCTTGGCCTTTCTTTGTCTTTCAGGACATTGACTTTTTTGAAGAACCAAGGCCAGCTATTCAGCAGAATGTCCCTCAGTTCGGTTTGCCTGGAATTTCTTCCTGATGACACTTCTTTATTATTTACGGCGGGAGTGCTCCCTGTGGAAAGTGCTCCCTGTGTAGGGTAGGTGTCGCCCACGGTGTGTGACATGGAAAAATGCATAGCACTGGCTGTCCTGTTATGGGTGAGGGTAGTTTAATAATTTGGTGAAGGCAGTATTTTCTGGACTCAGTCTTTACTGTTCCCTAAGAAGCTTTCTCACCTGATGGTTTTTTAAATTAATTAATTAATTTATTTATTGAGACAGAGTCTCACTTTGCTGCCCCTGGTAGAGTGCCCTGGCATCATAGCTCACAGAAACCCCTAACTCTTGGCTCAGCCTTCTGAGTAGCTGGGACTGTAGGCGCCCACCACAACACCCAACTATTTTTAGAGCCAGGTTTTCGCTGTACTCTAGGCTGGTCTCCAAGTCATGAGCTCTGGCAATCCATCCACCTCGGCCTCACCTGATCATTTTAATATTTTTATTGATGCTTGCCTAAATGAGTTATTGCTATGATCACCATAAAATGGTGATTTTTCTGTTATCATTTATTTTGTATTCTTCAATAGAAAGAAGGTTCTCCTCAATACTTAATATTTGTAAAAACTTATTAGTATGAACTCAAGGATTCTTCATTATGGTTACTGTTGTTCAGTGGGTTTGTGGGCACTGGCTGTGGGCGATGGGCTGCTGTGGGTGTGGTCAGGGATGAGCTATTACTATCCTTCATTGTGATGCTCAGGTCCCAAATTTAGGTTGGCTCTTACATCCCTTTGACATTCCTCAGATGCTCCAGGCTCACCTTGGATGAGGATCATTTTTTTGCCATGTGGATACAGAGACACTAGTTCTGTCTCAGGCAGAGATGCCTGGAGAAGCCATGATGAAGACTGAAGGAGGCATCCTGCCACTTGGCTGGGGCTCTCAGCTCCTGATTCCATACCCAGTGCCATTCTGAAACTTTCTGCTTTTTTCTTCCTGTGCTCTTAATGAAGACTCACTGACCTTCACTCTCACTCTCTCCACCAGGCCTCCCTTCCACAAGCTCTCTCCATCTAATTATGTGTCTACTTAGAAGCTGCAGAGACTGAGCACTGAAACTGTCCAGACCCCACCAGGAAGCCACCTCAGGGTGGTCAGAGAACTATGACAGCCTTTGAGATGGTGCCAGACTGGGTACTCAGAATGACTGGGGAATCAGCCATGGTCACGTGCCATCCCTGCACGCTCCTCACATCAAGACACCTTTTTAAGCTTCCATCCTCAACCGGGAACTTTGAAATGGTTTCTGGGAGGCATAAGCCTTGGCCATTTCCCCACTGCTAGCTCTGGAATAAAGTCACTTTCTTTTTACCACAGCTTGTCCTTGTCATTGGCTTTTATAAGCAGTATGTGGCTGAGCCTGTGACTGATTACAATTCTGTCCCTTCCCAGAGCCCTGCTGCTGCCTGGCAC